GCACACAACTGCACTTCCTCACTTCTCACATGCAAACCCTCAAGAGCCTTTTCTCTCTGCTAAGGATCAGCAATACACCTGTCTAACAAACAGGGTGCATCTACACAAGATATTTACTACGGAGTTGCCAAATTAATTCCACAGTAGTCTCAGTGACTACACCTGTGGCCGTATTAGGTGTAAACACTTGTAAACACACACAAGTAGATGCTGACACAGCTGGCTGGGGCACAAGGGTGCTTCAGTACAGGGTGCTGCCTGCTGGCTAGGCTCATACTGGAGCAGTCTTGTTTCCCAGCCAGCCCCTCAGCAGCATGTTGAGTTGGGTTGGAGCAGCTCTGACTTGGCAGGCTGACCCCCTCAGACACCCTGCCAGCCAGGGCTGCTCTGACCTAGTTCAATGTGCTACAGTCTCAGGTGCATGTATAAATGCAATGCCCAGAAGCAATAAACTGTGGTACAAACTGCGCCAGAGTTTATTCAATCAAATTAATTGCATGTGTATCTACACATGCGCCCACACTCTCAGAAGTGGGTCTTGCACTGACATGCGTATGTGGCTTGAAATGAACACACAGATAGGCAGACATATGATTTATATACATCCAGACCTCTGCAAAGGCTCCGCATAGTTGTGAAGAAAGAGATACAGCAGCATCCTGAGTTCCTACATCTCTTAAGACAAATGCACACTGAGAAGTGGACTGTACTGCATTAAACCCAAACATTTATTCATTTATTATTATTGGTACTATTGTTGCTATATATAGCAGTGATTGTATTATTTTTAGTAGTAGTAGTAGTAGTAAAGGCCTGATCAGAAAATGACTTTTTTCCCATAAAAAGATTATTAAAATGATGATTTTTCATTTTCATTGATTTGGGAGTATTTCAAATTTTCATCCAAACCCCTCCCAAATTGGAAACTTACACTTTTTTGAAAACATTTCTCATTTTTTAAAATATAAAAAAGATGAAAACCTGACCATTTTTCTAAAATGATTCCCCCCCACCCCGTTTCATTGACAAGCCATATTCCATGGAAGATAAATGTGTAGACAAGACAGAACATTTAATATTCAGTCTAATTTTGGACTTGATTTTTCCAGCTACCTTCACATTGTGCAGTATCTCATATTCTACCTGTAGTTCTACCAGTTTCAATCAAACTGGTCCCCTAGCAAGCTGCTGTTCACCATGCGTAAAGCTGATAGGATCAGTGCTGGTTTGAACTGTAGGGGTGCTCAGGACTCTATCAAGATCAGGGTGCTATGGTGCTGGGCATGCTAACAACAACAAACCCATACCTATTGCCAGCTACTTCCTCTTGATAAAAACAGACCTTGGGTTTATCCCAAATCTGATTGTCCCAGGTTTTGACTTGCATAAAAGCAGGTGAGGGACAGTCATTTACACACACAGTTTGAATAGCAATTAACTTAAATTAAGCCTGATTGTCCTAGATACTGCCCAAGTATTTAAAGTGAGACCTGCTGTTGTGGCTCAGTAGTATAATTCTACCACGTGGGAGACCTGGGTTTGAGTCTCGGATGCATATGTAGCTACAGCCATTGATGTCCCAAATGTCTGGACTCGGTCTGGCCTTTGGATACTGTCTAAAGTGGGAATGGAAGGTCTGGGCAGCCACTTCTCCATACTCCTGCCTAGGCCTACCTGTGAATGCTACTGGTGACCTCCTATGCATACACCATTATCCCGAAGAACTGGTGGCTGTGTACTACTACTTAAAGCGAGACAATGGACTTGTATGTCTGCAGAATAAAAGGCTTTGTCCCAAGAGAAATCCAACATCTGTTTTTAGCCTTTGATTCATATCTGCAACACATTCATCTTAAAGAGTATCTATATAAAGAAGTGCCTATACTTGGGCACTGACGAGCTCTTTAAGAACACAGGTATCCACCAGTCCACCATAACTTCTGTTCTTGAATATCACTAAACAGGCCTATCAACCATAAAACAAAGCACACTGTCAACTTTCAGAGAAAAATAAAAAGGAACAGATCATGAAAAAGTATTGGCTTTTCAATATTGTTCACTTTTTCACTATATTTTCCACCAAATTGTAATTGAACCTGTCTTGTAAATTTTTCATTTGCCAAAATTTCATTTTTTGGAAACACAAAAAAAATTCTGATAAATGGGAGGGGGAGGGGCATTAACCCTTTACACACCCTAAAAACATGCAATATATAAAGCATTGTTGCTACATGCCACATTCCAGCGACAGATGTAACCCACATCTGATGCACACAACACATAGTTCCTCAAAACCATTTAATGACACTCTATAGAGCCATCCACTGTCATCAGTGCCTTTCCCTGGTGTCTGTCAGGGAAAGTCTCCATGGAGATGTTACTCATATGCATGGAGGTCTCCAGTGCCAGACTGACAGTTTTGCTTGCTACCTCTTCTGGACAAGAACTAGATCTTCCTTAGTATCTTGTGCAGCTCTGAGCCAGTAGCAATAACAATAGGAGTTTAGGCCCTCAGTAAAATGCTTATATATATGCCCATATATACGAGTCAGCCACATTACAATCAGTGGAATTCTTCGCATGCTCCAGTTAGGTTCGTGCTTAAGCTAACAGGGCCTAAACCGCCATAGATAGTGCTATTGCTGTGTGGTTCTTCTCTCTATCAGCATCTGGCCTCACCTCATCTCACACCCTCCTGTTCACAGTGAAGGCACCCAGATACACTCCCCTAGGAGGCAAGACTGCCACCCACCGTCCCAGCACCTATCTCAAAGCTCCAAAGCCAGGCCATTTCCACCCCTCCCGCCACCCCTCCACTCCTGGTAAGATCACAAGGACCCATTTATTCTGAGATATGAAACTCGTGTTGTTTCTTTATTGTGCTTTAATGAAACACTGTTTATTCTAGGCTTTTAATTCTTTCCATCTATTATGTTTAGACAACTCATTAACAATCATTTGTTATCATTAGACTTCAATTTTAAGCTCCTTTTCCCAGGGGAGGCAATGCGGTGCTTTTAAACATATTTGCATCATAAACAATTTCAAAGCCCTCTGTGTCATTTATTTCACTGCCCCTTCCTCTTTCTTGCAAAACCTTCATTCATCCCCCCCA